CTTTGATATAATGAGAGCAACTAAGAACAGAGCAGGGAGGAAGAGCAGGAGGAAAAGATTAACATTAAACAGATACATGAGGTGGGAGGGAAAGGGAGAGAAATGGGAAACTGCATGGTAATGGAGGGAGACCCTCATTGTTACACAAAATTACATATAAGAGGCTGTGAGGGGAATGGGAAAAAAACAAGGAGAGAAATGAATTACAGTAGATGGGGTAGAGAGAGAAGATGGGAGGGGAGGGGAGGGGGGATGGTAGAGGATAGGAAAGGTAACAGAATACAACAGTTACTAGTATGGCATTATGTAAAAATGTGGATGTGTAACCGATGTGATTCTGCAATCTGAATTTGGGGTAAAAATGGGAGTTCATAACCCACTTGAATCTAATGTATAAAATATATCAAAATCTTTGTAATGTTTTGAACAACCAATTAAAAAAAAAAAAAAACTACTCTAAGATTTCATCTCTCCAGTCAGAATGGCAGTGATCATGAATACAAGCAACAATAAGTGTTGGCAAGGATGTAGGGAGAAAGGCACACTCATACATTGCTGGTGGGACTGCAAATTGGTACAGTCGATATGGAAAGTAGTATGAAGATTCCTTAGAAAACTTGAATGAAACCACCATTTGACGAAGCTATCCCACTTCTCGGTCTATACCTAAAGGACTAAAAGAGCATACTACAATGATGCAGCCACGTCAATGTTTATAGCACATTTCACAATAGCCAAACTATAGAACCAACCTAAATGTCCTCCAATAGATGAATGGACAAAGAAAAAGAAACTGTGGTGTGTGTGTGTGTGTGTGTGTGTGTGTGTACACATACACAATGGAATATTACTGAGCAGTAAAAGAGAATAAAATTATGGCATTTGCAGGTAAATGGATAGAGAATATCATGCTAAATGAAGTAAGCCAATCCCAAAAAACCAAAGGCCAAATGTTTTCTCTGATAAATAGATGCTAATCCATAATGGACAAGAAGCATGGGATGAGTGGAGGAACTTTGGATTGGCCAAAAGGGAGGAAGGAAAGGGGAGCGGGTATGGGGATAGGAAAGATGGTGGAATGAGATGGACATCATTACCCTAGGTACATGTATGATTGTACAAATGGTGTGACCCTATTTCGGGTACAACCAGAGAAATGAAAAGTTGTGTTCCATTTGTGTACAATGAATCAAAGAGCATTCTGTTGTCACGTAAAACTGATTAGAACAAATAAACTTAAAAACTTTTAAAAATGCTAGTGAAACACAAGAGGGCAAGAGAATAAGAATACACAATCAAAGGTATTGTGCAAAGTCTGGACCATGAATGGGCTTAAAAAGCAAATAAAACTCACACTTTGAGAGAAAAGTGTTGAGCCTGGGATCTGCGTGGGACGGCAGTGATGGCATCGGGTTTTTGTGGATCTTGTCTGCAGTGATAGTGGCTTTGCAGTTTGTGGGAGCGTGCTCCTACCCTTAAGCTGCCCTGTGAAGCACTTAGGAGCCATGTCATGGAGTTCACAACCTTCTCTCACACAGAACAGAAAGAAAACAGGAAAGAAAGGAGGGAGGAACGAGGGAGGAAGAGAGAGGATGAAGGAGGGAAAGGCAAAGGAGAGGAAAAGAGCAAATGTCAGAGTCTGACGTCTGATGAGCCAGGGGAAGAGCGTGGTGTGGCACCCGTTTATTCAACTTCTCTCTAGGTTGAAAAACACCTGAAATAAAACTCCTAGGGAAAGCACTGCAAGAATAACCGCCTTTTGACAAAAACTTTGAGCTTCATGAAATTCCATCTGATATGTGCACATCCCTTTCTCTGTGTCCATCCAAACATAATGAAAAATATTTTAGGCTAAGAAGGGAGTTTAATGTGAGAACATATTAGATAAGGCTCTGCAAATTCCTCCCCCACTTTAACAGCACACATGGCCATGGCTTCAAGTCACCAGCACACAGTGCTTTACGTCAGCCGGGCGGCTCGCTCATTCAAGCAGCGTGCATCTAGTACACACCGAGTTGCGCAGCCGTTTAGCCACGACAGTCAATGCTGTTATCACTGTCCTTGTGAACATCATCTTACAGCTGGGACCATCAACTCCATGGGAAAGAGTCCCAAAAGCTGAGTGGCTGAGTCAAAAGGTTGGTACTTTTATTTTAAAATATCTTACCACATTATCTTCCCAAAAGACCACAGCACGCAGTTGTATTTCTCTGTTCATGTGTTTTTCATACCAGGGGTGTTAGAAGTGCCCTGAAATCAGGGACAGCACCACTCACTTGCCCAACAAAGACTTATTCATCATCTACCATGTGCCAGGCACTACTCAGCACCAGTAACACACAATTAAACACGGTAAGCACCATCGTGCCTGCGCTTTCCTAATGTTCTTACGGGATGATCCAACAGGGAGCCATTAATTGCACAATTAATAGTCTTTTTACGCTGACAGTAAATGCTTCAAAGAAGGGTTGGGACAGGTTGCCATGAGCGTTATGACCCCAGTACACAGCTCTGGGAATGACTATAGATGGGCTTTCTTATTATTTATCTATGGCTTGATAAATTTCACACCACTGATAATACTACGATTTATGACATTTAAAAATGTGGTTTTGTAACTGTGGTGAGAGAGGGAGAAGAGATGGACCAAAGCTCATGGAGAACATGAATCAGGAGAGTACCAGGCCCTTCACATGTCTCATCTCTCCTAAACCTCACCACTAAGGATGGGGCAGAGACTGTCACTCCATTTCAAAATGTGGAAAATGAGACTCACAGAGACAATAAGTCAAAAATAGTATGCACACTATTACTACATGCTGTGACATGACAACAGGATGTGGATCCCAGTCTCCCAGGTTCACTCCACTATATCACGATGATTCAAGGCAAAAATTTCAGACTCAGCTTAGAAAAATCTATATGCGCAATAGAACACATTTCTACATGTGATCCATGTAAAGTTAGGAGACTAAGGGAAGCCACTTTGGTATTTAAGCCACTTAACTTAAACACCATCATATTGTGCTCTACCAGTTGGATGGACATGTGACAACATATTCTTACTCAAACTGTCTACTTCAAACTCAAGATTTTACCATTTGAGCTTGTTGCAGTAAAACTTAAATTAACCAAAATCTAATAATTCAACAACCACAGTAAAAAAATTCAAAGATCAAGGTCAGGGGACCCTCCACTCCCAGAAGACACAAAGACATAAAAGTCCTCCAGGAGTGAGTTTCCCATACAACTAATTTATGACCATGTATGTACAGTAGTTATAGCGCACACTCTCTCTCTCACACACACACACACACACACACACACACAATGTTCCAAACGTGTCCTAATGTCCTCTTGGGGAAAAATCACTTCTGAAGGAATACAGACACATGGGCCTATAAAACCAATGCATAAAAAAAAAAATATTTGCTGCTTAAAATAGAGGAACACAGCAAAGTTATAAATCAGTAAATACTCTAAAATCAAGGCTAAAAAAGGAAGTAGAAAATAAACTAGAAAGAATATGAAGAGGATTTTATCGATTTTTAGATACAAATTTTAGATCTGCAGATTTTCACACTTGAAAGCTTCCCGTTTTCCTTGTTTGACATGGACGAATCCCTAACACAGGAGACGAGATAAAATCACGATTACACGTTAACACGAGTGAAGGGAAGAAGGCAGTGCTTACAGGGAGGAGAAAGAAGAATTTGTTCTGATCCAACAAAGGAAAAATCAGAAGAGAAAGGATGAGGGAAAGTGCGGACTGCATGAGTTAATTGTCATCAGATAAAAATGAGCTGGGAAAGTAGATTGCTGAAAAAAATGGGTCATGAAATTGCTGCTACTGGACAGTTGTACAAACTGTTCACTGCACAAAGTAACTCGGTCAAGGGGGCAAAGCAAAGGCTCGACGTGCTTGCTGCCAAGCTGGACTTCCCGTTGAACCCTGAGAACAGAGCATTTTTTCTATTCCACACAAAGCCTGAGTCTACTTGCCAAGCCTCAGGACCCAAAAGCTGTGTCCACTTGAAAGAAGATTTTCTGAAATCTGCAAGAGTGCTTCCTTTGGCCTTGAGGAAAGCTGGCATCATACATGACAGCTACTCTCTTCCCTGGACTCCCAAAGGAGCCTCCCAGCCCTACCAAGCCCCCAGCCACCAAAAAAATACATGAACTTTTAAATAAAAAGACCCCCTCACTACTTGTTCAAAATTCAAAGCTAGCTTGGATCTCCCCCTTTCAATTTGGTGTTAAAATCCATTATTCTACAGCTGATAACAATTTATGTCGGGCTAAAATAATTTACTTACTACTAATAGAAAATTTCTAATAAAATTTAGAATATGACTTACTCCCCCCAAAAGGGATAAGTATAATTTGGAGTTAATTCTTTAAATGCAAGTGCTGCTCCTATTTCTGTACCTCTGATAGCTCACAGGATCTCATCTTGTTAGGCACTACAAATACCAGCTCCAAACAGGGGGAACAAAGCTTCACTTCCTAGAAAACAGTCGACCCCTAGGCTGTACTCTAAAGCAAAGAGCTATTCTCCCTTCCCCCAAATCTATCCAACGGTAAGTCACTATGTTTCTATCTCCATACATTCTCAAGTTTCCTACTTCAAAAAACAAATAAAAAACTCCATAGACAATAATATAGCAAAATTGTTACCAAACTGCACTGGCCAATGGTTCTTTATGCTATAGATTCTCGTTTTACATACAATAGTAACTGCAAAATGGAAAATGCTTATTTAGGAAAGGTTACTAATCATAAGTTTATTAAATAACTTAAGATGCACGTATAACATATAGCACATATAACATAAAGGAAGCAGGTCTAGTATGTCAGTTGAATTAATTCAAGCTTTTCTGATTTCTACTAAATACATAGTAAACAACTGCTTCATGAATTCGCTAATTAGTAAAACTTCAAGCTGTTTGCTAGAACTAGACACCATATGTAGTAACAGGGTCACAAAGTTTTCTTTTTACCTCGAATAACATAATTATCCAGTGCGTCCTCCATCCTCTTCAGGGCTTCCGTTCTATCAGAGCCATAGGTGATTAACTAAAATCAGACAGGCAGAAACGACGTTTATAGTTACCTACGTGATAAATGATTCAATCCAGGAACAAGTGAAGTATTTCATAAAGACTTCCCAAGATAGCTTTTGAAACTTCACAGTGGTTTAGTTTTTAATATAAAATGTGCCAGTTAAGATTTTTCAAGTAAACAAATATTAGAATCTAGCTATTTCAAACTTATACATTTCATTATCATGGTAAAGAGCTATTTGAAAAAACAAAAATCAAAAAACAAGCCAAAAGTTGAAAAGGAGATACATCAAATGTGAAGATTGGGGACAGGATGTAAACATGTGGGACTGGGTAAGACTTTTTTATTTCCCTTTTTTTCCTGTTGTTTCCAACTTTGATACACTGAACAGGGAACATGTTGATAAGCCACCAAGAAAGTACATAAACTTTTAAATAAAAAGATGAAAGTTTTAAAAAGTCTATTTTAAGAATTGCTCTGTTTCATACTTAATAGAACACAGAAGCAAAGGGCACTGGTACTAGAGTAACGTGAAGGCCTTCCTGCTCTATAGAATTCTGTGCCTGTTTAAATATACCTTATATAAATTAATAAATAAGAATTTAACTATTCATTAAGGATTTAATGACATTAGTTATCCTGTATACAACAATAACTTTGGTAAATTTTGTAAGGTCTTCAACATTAAACCAGCTTGAAAATTAACTCATAAGCCATTAACAGAAAAGTATACATCTAAAAATGGAATCTTAGCGATTTAAAACTCCATTTATATATTTTAGGTATTTTTATTTTTAAATTAAATCAGGTTTCTCTAACAAAAAAAAGAGCTAAGGTTCACTTTAACAATATTAGTGTAAAAGCAAAGTTAAAAATAAATAAATAACTAGTTTGTTTACTACAATTACATTAAAAAGTACTCTTGGGGAAAAACCATCTTATGAAACAGAGTTTAATAAAGAAAAATTTTAAAAAACATTCCTCAATGTAGATTTAACATTTTTGAGAACACAATATTTTCAAATAAAATATATAGTTTTAACTACTGTAATACTTTACATATTATAAAGTCTTAAGATTTCAATACTAAAATAAATTAAGTTGATTATTCAATCTAGAAAGTTAAACTTGGAAAAGACAGGTGGACAAACCACAAATTATAATCTTCTATAAAATGTAATTGGACTGGGGGTGGAGCTCAGGGGTAGAGCACTTGCCTGGCATACAGGAGGCCTTGGGTTTGACCTCCAGAACCACAAAGGGAAGAAAACAAAGAAAAAAACTAGAAACTTAACTATGTCAAATCAACAACGTAAGGACTATTAATTTGCAAAGAAAAACTGAATAGGTCAAAAGCATTCCAACAAACACTGCCTATCAGCCCAACTTCTTGATATCAACTGACACTTTTTTACCTTAGGCAATTTTCTAAATTTGTCCAAAAAGCAAACAAAACTTAATGCCTTCTTACTACTATGAGCTGGGTTGGTGCCCCTGAGTGGATGTTTGTTGGTGGGGTGGTGCAGGTGGATGATCTGAGAGGGGAGGACAGACAAATGAATATGGTCTTAAAATTTCTTAAGAGAAAAAAATCTGCAGTTTCTATTTTACATCAGTCTATAATTACTTGTTTAATTATAATACATGATTCAGGTAAAGGCTCTGTGTCAGACTTTTAAACTAAATACGTACATTGTTCAAAAGAACACTGAAAGAAACCATTAAGAAATGGAACTAACTTTTGAAATCATAGGATCATAATAAATGCTGATATCACTTCCTGGTTGGATGCCACTGTCAACCCGGACCTGGGAGGGAGAGAGAAAAATGAAAAGAACTTCATATTGGGCAGAATTTTTTAAAGCCACAAATTTAATTTCCACAGAGAAACTAGATAGTTTCGATCTCAAGTAACATTCCCATTCCTGAACATTAGAAAAACAACCTCAAAATGCACAGAGACCAACCCGTCTTGATCTGTTAATATGCACTACAAGACACGCTTCTGTTACTAAATGAAGGAACTAAGGAATGAAACGGGGACTTTATACACCCTACACCAGTGCCCCAGGATGCATCTGCAGCTCTCTGCCTGTGTGGATGACGCCCCTTCTCAGGGGACTCCCTACCCGATCCCTCTCAGCGGCCCGGGGAAGCCTGAGCCCTGGCTGCCTGCCTCTCAGTGCCAGAACCGTTCTGGCCTTTCATGTCGGCAACACTTTCCTTTCTGCCGCACCCTCTCAACTGTAAAACGCTATTTTCTGTTACTGTTAGTCCCCTGAGGCTTCCGTGTTTACACAGCTTTTCCAATGGCTTTGCTTTGTGAGGACACAGCCCCAATTAGAGTTCTGATTTTGCAATTTTCATGGGGGGGAAAAAAACAGCAAAAGTTCAAAATACCCTTTTGAAGAGCCAGATTGCTGTTAATCAGCCAACAAGTTAGTTAGTACATCACTGATTCTTGTTTTCATCTCCCAGTTTGATATCAGCAGCAAGGCACGGAGGTTAGCCATGTACAACTTCTAAAATGAGCAGTTGCTGAGGACAGAGTAGTTATTACATTATTGTGACCAAGTTTTGGAATCTGAAGTATTTAAAAACTAATCAAAATATGGAGCCTGTCAGGCATATCCTAGGGGTCTTGAGGATGGAGGAATTTAATCGAAGCTGCTGGAACAGCAGGACTTTGATGCCCAACATTGCACAGGGGTGGGCAGGGAAGAGCGGAAGCTCCCGCTCATCACCTGTGGGAAGAGTGGGCCTCATAAACAGCAGCTCAGCTGTCTGCAGCAGGCAGGAAAAGGTCAACACAGCGGCTGTTAGGCCTTTAATATTTTAATTTAGGCAATTATCAAGGGACCGCATGTAGAACCTCTTGTCTAAGATAGCCACATGAGGGTAAGATGATGGCTTTATTACACAGTGACGTCAAAAGATAAGCCATGGTTTCACTCTCTTCAAAAAGAAAAAAAAAATTACACCAATATATTTTCCCTGTAAGGTTTTAAAAGAGAACACTATGCCCAGAGGGCTTTTATTTCCAAAATTGCAAACACCAACAAAAATATGGATATTTCTATTCACAGTCATACATGAAAATCTTTAGGTGAAAGCCACTCAGCATATTACAAAGCATACTTGGGCTTCTATTTTCTGAAAACATACTTCAGAACATAAACTAAATTCTATTAAGTTCCTGGTGTTAATTTAAAAAGTTTTAAAAAGAACTAGAAAAAAATAAATAGAGCAGCTTTGAAACAATGCTATCAGTCTACACTCTCCCCACATTCAGGTAGCCCCAAAGGGCAACAGACGATCAGGTTATATAACCAAAAAGATGACTGTGTACTTTAGTTGTCTCCGTTTTAATGCCAAAAAGTTAAAGAACTAACTTTACCATCACGTCACATGTAAAACCACAGCATACTTGCTAATGAGGCTGTGTTCTAAAACCTTTGACTTTCAACATCTCCTATCATTGCTACATTAACAGCTATAAGCTAGTGAGAAATTCTGATGTTTAACTCACTGGTGAAATAACAGGCAATAAAGAATATTTATTACATCCTCCTATAGTTCATAACTTAAAAATTTTAATTACCTTGAATAATACCATCCTAAAAGTTAAGTTACTCAGAGCTCCTACATACAACTATGTCTCTCGTATTTACTAAAATCATGATCATGGGAAATACGCCATTTTAATTTAAAAACATATGGGGTAAAATCAAAATATGTGCAATCAACACATGTAGGCAAATTGACATTTCCAATTTGAAATTGTAACAAAGCATGAAACCCCTGTTCTATAATTTACTGTTTACAAAGTTTTTTCCAAAAAACTAATTTCTAACAATTAAGAGTCAAATCAAGTGCTCATTCCTTCAGGGAAACAAAGGCCATAAAAATTTGCAGTGAGTGCTTTAGGAATAAAATCAAATGGAAACTGAACCAATTTTATGAGCAGAACAAAACTGTAGTCTGAAAATAAATTATAAAATAAAATATGATTATCAAGAATTAGAAAGGAAATCTTCATATTTGCCCTATTGATAAATTTCAGGTTTAAAGATGCATGTGAAAAGTACAAACCATAAGTCAACTCTTAAGTATGTATGCTTGTGACCAAAAAAGGTAAGAGTAAACATGGTTCCTCAAGTTAAACTGACTGATCTAGTTTTAATAAGGCAAGGAGGAAACCTAGGACGCTCACAACAAGAACACCCACACAGCTCTGTATGAGATTCCTAAACCACTGCTCAGAAACCCCCAGCATAATTGAAACTGCTTTCTCCAGTACCACAGTGGGCCCTGGGAAGTATCAGACGTCTCCCACCCTTCCTTCTCAATCTACCTCTCCCCTGAAGCCCAACTCCCAGCCCGCCATGTCTACCTGACAAGTGACAGCCCAATCTGATTAAATGCTTCCAAGGGAGGGGACTCATGGGCCTCCATGACAGGCCAAAAGTGATCACCATGGAGATACATAATTACAGCTGTCAACGCATCTACTGTCCTGCTGACATCAATTTGATTGCTCCCAGCAATAATGATAGACAAAGCTTAGTGTGCACTCTCCTGCACCCAATCACTTTATCTATTCCTTGGTCCATTTAGCTGACATGCAACATTCACACAAGCAAATAACAGCAGTAAGCAGAACATTTAAGGCATTTTAATTGTTTTTTCTTTCTATGGATGGCTCACAACTGCAAATGTTATTACATAAAACTCCTGCTGCAGCATTAATTGAAGAAAGATTTGGTGGGACAAAGCCTGTAGGGGGTATAGTTTGTCCATTATCACTTGTACTTTCAACAGGTCTCACGTTTGAAAATTGCAAATTACAAAAACTTGCGAGGGCAAAATGTTTGACATCCTGTTAGCTATTACAACGTGGTGAAAACTTCTAACAACTCGAGTAATCATTATCAATTCTTATTTAATACTTTTTTGTTTGATTAAAAAAGTGTTTAGATATGTCCCTATGATACTTATTTTCTCATCTGCTATTTAACGTCACACAATGCCTGTTAAATCTTTACAATTTTTTTCTGCCTTCAGGCTTTGAACACAGCATGGAGTCTCCCAGCCTAGAAAGGGTCAAGTCCCTTTAGAAAGCACATGGACAAAAACAATTTAAAAAGTGAAATAAATCATATATCCAATAACATCTTCAAATTTAGAATTCTTCCTGTAATCTTTCACCATCTTCTTGCCAGTAATCAAGCTGAATAATCATATTCACAGATGGTGCAGCCCTGTCATCCACCAGCTAACATGGTGTCATATCTGTGCACTTACTACCTTGATTAAGGGAAAGGGAATGTCCTTGTTCTTTTCATGCAACAAAAACTATTTAAAGAGCAGTTATTAAAGATAGAAAGACTGTGGAATAAAACAGGTCACTTTTTCTTAACTGATATAAACAATATGTATTCTTAAAGTCAGTGACACTTAATGGACTGAGGCACACTCTATTTTTCTTAATCCAGTTCAATTAATGGGATGATTTTGTGCTTAAGTTTCTTGACATTTGACTATCTAGGGAAGCTGCATTCTATTTACTGAAAAGATTAAACTGTAACACACACACACACACACACACACACACACACAATCATTTACAGTTCTTCCTTAGGATTACATGATCTTTTTCATTACAATTTTCAAAAGAACTGGGAACCTCTTAAACTATCATTTATGTTATCAGATGTCTCTGAGCTTCCCTTGTCAAAAGAATTCTGTCTTTCCTGAACACTATAAAGTACAAAAAAATTTTTTTTAAAACAAAAACACTGATTCCCCATGAATTACACTTGTCCCTCAATTTACACCCTTTGGTGTTGACTTGCTTTCACATAAAAGTACGACATAAATCAAGATTTTAACCCCTCAGCTGGTATTACAGCTTAATGACTTACACCAGGTAGACGTATCGGCTCTTGGTACTGAGACAATCTCCCAATAGACGGTAAACCAAAAGACTTGTAGGGGTCCTGAAAGTTCAAAGGAAAGGAAGCACAGTCTTTGAAATATAAATCAGCACAAGTAAGGTCAGCTACAACGAAGAAGCATTCATAGCTCTATTTTTAACATACGGTATTTACCGAATCACAGATTTCGGAATGCTACTATCTTACCCACTAGACAACTCAAAAGTGTATTTAAAAATCAAACAGAACTGCAAGCAGAATTTAGCCTGACCTTGATCATACTTTATTGTAATTGGTAAAATTCCAACTTTTTATAAAACTTCTTAGAATGCCTTGGGCAAAAATAAAATAACCTAGGCTCTACATCAAAACATACTCAAGTTCAGAACAACAAATGTGCTGCACTAAAGATATTTGTTTTTCTTACTTCTCAAAACAGCTCACATATGGTAAAACTTGAGAATCTGAGCTCTTCAAATAAAGACCTGAAAAGAATCGCTCCACGTGCTGCTAGATATGTATTCCATTTACAAAGATCTTAGATCATCAGAATAAATAATAAGTAAGATCAGTGTCACAAAAAAGACATACCCCTTAACACATGATGCAGAGCAGGAGGGGCAGTAACAGCGATGACAAAACATATTTCAAGCTACTTTAAAAAGATTGACACAACATTCAGTAGTCTTAAACACAGATACCACAGTGATTTTTTTTTTCTATATGGATAGACATTTTAGATAGACAGTCTAAAAGTAAAGGTGCAAATGTTGCCTTGCATTCTTGTCTTAATCATTTTGAAAAAAAAAACACATTTTTAGGTACTGAGTGCTCTATTTCCTGATTCATATAATTATACAGTAATATCAAAATACTGAACTAAGAACTGATGAGTAAAATTATGAAATAAGAGTACATGCTTTATGAAAAGCTCATTCAAATTTTAATCATAATGTCCATGTAATCATAAAGGACAAACATTAAAAAAAAAAAACTGTTGGAAAAAAGTTCAGTAAACATGGAATCAACAATAACCTGTACCCAGGGTAGGCTCTTTTGAAAAAGCCCACAGAAAGTTATGACTATTTCTTATTAATGGGGTTGAAAAACAAAAGCAAACAAAATAAAAATAAAACCATAGTCCATTCATGCTCAGAAATGCTCAACCAATGCTTGTTGCCTCTGATTGGAATGGCAGCTATTTCCCACCTGGAAATACATAATTCTTTAAAATTATGGTGAATTATGTGGAAATCATCTAACATTTTTCTGGTCTGATTATGGATTACATAATCAAACACCTGACACAGGACCTAACACCCTGCATTACCCGTGGGCTAGCTACACCAGGTCTCCTGACTCTGGACACCACCACCAACCTTGCTCCCAGCACCACTGGCTTTACCTCAGCGTAAACCCGGCATTCCACGGCCCAGCCATTGATGGGAATATCAGCTTGTTTGTGCCTGAGCGGGTAACCCTTAGCAACACGGATCATTTCTTGGACTAGGTCCAGGCCAGTGATGCATTCTGTGACAGGATGCTCAACCTGCAAGGCCAAGATGTGCCTGTCAGTGGGTGAAAAGCAAGGTGTGCAAGTAGAATTAAAGAAGAGAGTTTTCAAAAGGTGCTGGGTAAAATGAGGTCAGTTATACTTATCAGTTATACTTGGCTAAAATACCCTCAGACAGGAGAATAAGATGAAAGACTAAACACAATAATCAAAAAAATTCAGATCTAAAAAGTATTTGTAAACTATCTGTGTTACTTTTCCCAATTTTGATTTACTTGTGGCCCAACAGTATTTAACAATTTAACTTGAAACTGATTCTCAACTGAAAAACACATTCACACATTCATTGTGCTGCAAGTCTCGCTGTGGCTGATAGTCAGCCTGTTCTGCTACACTTAACATGGCATCTGTAGGGGCTGCTTATGATTTTCCAAAGCACTGGTCGAGCTGCGTCTCAGCCACTGCATGCTTTCACTAACCTGTCCTGACAAGCAGCCAGATTAGCGTGGTCTTGCATCAATGCAGTGCAGCAGAAAGGAGCAGATGGAGCCTGCAGGTTGCTCTCCCTTCAGACTGACCTGGGCAGTGCTTAGCATGCACAATAGCAAAGCAGAGCTAGTGAATCACTCTGCGCTCTCAGCAAATTGCGGAGAACTGCTCGGGTTGGTGCTGTCAAGGGAGTACCTGGCCTTCCACACTAACACATGGGATGCATATGTGCAAAAACATGCACTGACAACGCAGGCACACCAACAGGGATACACGTCATTATAACTTGATCGATCGCCTATAAATTCCTAAACTTGAGATAAAATAAAGCCAATTATGGCGGTACAGAAGATAATCTGCCCATCCTTGAAAATCTTAAAAAAACTTTAGGATTGTAATAAAACTTTAGCTATAACTGCTGCTTTGATACTGATTTTCTTCCTTATAGAACTTAAGTATGTCCTAAATGCACTTCACAATAGTTACATTGCCATGGCATGTCATATTTCATACATGGGCACAGGAAAAGGTCAGTGAACAAGCAAATTATCTTTCCATCTTCAACTACACTAATTGAAGGACAGGGACTTAGTCATTATAATAATCTTGAAGCTTATCATAAGCAGACAATGCCATGGTTTTGAAAAAAAAGCTCAGTAAAAATAAACAGATGGCATCCATAATTAGCTCTGTGTGTGTTATGAGTTTGTTTACAGTTTCAACAACATTTTAAGACATTTTGACATAATTTTAATGACAAATCATTGCTAAAATAAGCATCTACCCTTTATAAAATAAATGTGACACTAAATAAAGATATTATTAGATGGTTTAAAATATATTTTTTGAAAGTAAACCATGGTTTGTGAGGAGTAAGACTCCATATGATAAATATAAAAAGAAAGAACGAATGTGAAGTCTCGATTATCGTTAGAACCCATTTCATGGAAGAATGCATCTCAGCCCTCTGGTCAATAGGAGAAATCTACCCATGCCCACCGCCATGTAAAATGATGCTACGGGCACATCCTTGCTGGGGGAGAAATAATTTTAAAAGCAAAGTGAAGGAGCCAAGTTTCCTCTTGCTATTATTACAGCCAGAAAAGTTGAGTAATACACATGAGGCAAGTAAACACATGTGGAATGAATAAATAAATGAAGGAACAGCAATCCCAGCCATGTCCACAGCAGGTTGCAGAGATAGGCCTGCAACTTGTGGCCCTCCAGAGGTGTTGTTCCAGCCTGTTCTTTCACATAAGAAAATGCTCACAAAAGCAGAGAATAAATAGAAACGTCTGTGCAGCCATGTGCTGTTGTGTTCATACCACTACGAAGGCTTCAACACCCAAATTTATTTTGAGGCACTATTTTACCTTAGAAGATATCCCTGTAACTGTGTAGAAAAGTAAGTACATTAAACTCACTTTGAATGGAAACCAAAAATGGACTCACTTTGTTCCAATCTTGGCCTTGTATAACAAATATAACATAACATTTCACAATTAGAGAGACTGGACGAATTCAAAACTAAAAGTAGGAAACCAAAAAAAATAAGCTTAAAAAGACAAAATCTTTACTTACAGAACTGTCTTAAAAAATATTCATTTAGGGCTGGGCTGTGGCTCAGTGATAGAGCGCTCAACTAGCATGTTTCAGTCGAACCCTGGGTTTGATCCTCAGAACCACACAAAAATAAATAAGTAAAATAAAGGTATTGTGTCCATCTACAACTAAAAAAAAAATATTTAAAAAAAAATATTCATTTAGGTACATGTATTGTCAAAGCCCACAAAGTAGTTTCACACATCTGAACTTCTCAGGTAAAATATAACTTCTTTAAAGTAAAACTTAACACTTTTGAAAGAAACCCTTCTCTAGACATTGAACTCCAAAGCTACTCAATAAAATGTGAAAATTTCCTTGAGGCCTTGTGGTATCAGCAGCAGCATCAAGAATCTTCCAAGGGTGACACTGTTCATTAGACACTTTCCCCACTTCTGACGACTCAGCAATGGTTCCTTCTTAACCAGTGACAGATCACAGATACACACTGGAGCAAAATGGCTCCCAGACCTAAATACCACTGAATAGAAGGTTTTAAAATCTCTTTAGTAAGTAGAAAGGAAGGGAGGGAGAGATAGAAACAGGGAGGAAAGAAAGAAATGGTTAACTGAAACAAAGAGGAAAAAATGAGTTAGAGATTAGTGTCTGGTGAACCAAATGTTCCTCTGGTCTCACCTAGACAAAAAAAAAACCTAACTACAGAAGTCTGATGCTAATAAACATCTGTCCCAGGGCTGTTGTGTGAGGGAGGTGTGACTAACACAAGTTTTTTAGACACCACCTCGGCCATTAGAAGGTCACATGCCTTGCTACTCTGCAAGAGGAGGGGTCTTGTGTGCTTCCCCCTTTTGCAAAAGCATCTCTATGGATGGGAATCCCAGGGAGCACACTTTTCAACTTTCAAAAGAACAATTCCCTTACTGTGATTCCACACTCACTAAGCAGACTTTTGAGAACCTGGCTTCCTGTGGTTTTTCCTATCCAACAAAAATTTTATTGTTCCAAAGAACACATAAATAACGGATTCACTATGTCTTATTTTGCATTGTAGATTAACATATTAGGATTTAAATGCATAGACCTTGTAGTTTAGTCAGCAAGAATAAGCCCTAACCAACACCCCCACCCAAAAAAAAAAAAAAAAACACACATACAAAAAAAGGAGTAAGCCCTACCAACTTAGAATTTTTGAATCATCAAAGACAAACTTCTGGTTGAAATATATTCATCACAGTAGAGCCATGCTGCAAGGTTTATTAGCAGTTGATAAATCAGTTGGTACCATCAAATGCCAGATCATGGGATATAATCATGTGCAGGAAGTAGAATGAATTTATACAGTTCTACATACCGACACCAGATGCTCACAAATGGCTATCTTAAAAAAAAAAAAAAATAGATCTTCTTGCTATTTAAACTGAGTTTTGTTCAAGCCAGGCACTGTGGCATGTCTATAGTCCTAGCTACTCAGGAGGCTGAGGCAGGAGGATCACTTGAACCCAAGAGTTGGAGGCCAACCTGGGCAACATAGTGAGACCATGTCTTAATTAATTTTTATCTTGTTAGTAACCATCAGGCTGTTTTTCTAGACCTCTCTGCAGCTCCCTCTTAATTATCTGATGCTATCAAACTGACTTCCCTGCAAAATAAGCCCATCAAACACAAAATTGAGGTAAACTAGGCTTTACTTCATCTGAGTACTTAATTTCCATAGTGATGAACTTAGGAACTAAATCTTTTTGCTGCTCTCCACCTTCATGAGTCTCAGAATCACAATTGCAAATCTGACACTTCAGTTGTCACCTTGAGCCTTACACCTCAGTAAATATAAACTAGGAAGAATGCGAAAACTAGTGAGTCCTGAAGTCTCCTCCTATCAGACACTTCCTGAATGACGAAGGGAAACACAGTAAGTATACAATAGCGAAATGTGGAGACAGGCCCTGAACCACAGCATCACACCAACAGGGAACCATCCTGGGCCACCCGTGGTCTCACAGAGGCACCTCCATGCCAGAAACATCAGTGTGGGGAATCCCCCAAATGCAGAGACTAAATGTAGTCAGGAGAAAGCACAGGAACCCCAGAGGAGGAGGAGCACTCCATAAAGTAAACGGACTGGGCTCTTCAAAACACCAGCACCCGAGGAGAGGTGGTGCACATTTACAATCCCAACAGCTCGAAAGGCTGAGGCAGGAGGATCGTGGGTTGAAGGCCAGCCTCAGCAACTTAGTGAGGTCCTAAGCAACTTAGTGAGACCCTGTCTCTAAATAAAATATTAAAAGGGCTTGGGATATGGCTCAGTGGTTAAGCGCCTCTGGGTTCAATTCCTGGTACAAAAAAGAAAATTCCAGATCATATGGATCAAAAAAGACTGGAATTGTGCAGATTAAGATGGATTTATTTCAGATTAAAAGAGAGAAACAATAAGGGCTGAGGATATAGCTCAACTGGCAGAGTGCTTTGCTCATATACGCAAGTCCCTGGGTTCAATCCCCAGCACCAAAAAAAAAAAAAAAAAAGTCAGAAAGGAGACACAACAATTAAATGTAATATGTGATTCTGAGCCAGAATTTCTTTCGTTTACAGTAACAAGCCTTAGTGAGACAACTCATGAAATTTGAATATAATCGGTAGAGAGGATGATAATAATATGTGAATGTTAAAGTACTAATTTTGACAAATACTGTGGTTATATTTTTTAAAAATTGTCCTATTTTAAGAAACACAGACTTATTTCATAGTAAAGAGGCGTCAGGCCTGCAATTTACTCTAAAATATTTCAGGTAAAGAAAATGTATATGAATACACACTTTATACCTATACATATGTGTAGGTGTAAAGAGGGAAAGGGAAGGTGGTAGATGTCGGTGAATACAGAAATCCCCTGTACTTTTGCAACTTTACTATAAGTCTGAAATCACTTCAAATAAAAGTTAATAATCATAAAGTGACATCACTTAAGATTTTATTTTTCATATCAC